TGAGAGGTCTACCCAAGGTACATATACACCAAGTATCAAAGCATTCAGACTTGTAGTTTTCAAGAAGAAGTCGAAAATGTAAAACATTGACACGGACGACGGACAATCACTCATATGATAAGCTCCGCTCGACAAAGTCGATAGCGGAGCTAAAAATAAGACATGACATTTCAACAATGAGATCTTACACTATTTTTGGAGGACTTGGTGTGGTACTGGTGACTTGTTCCTCTTCATGTCTCTGTTGTAGGGTTACCAAATCTCTCTTCAGGTTCCTCAGTTCTTCATTTAACTTTTGATTCCTACTTACTGATTCTTGCAATCTGTAAAAAAAAAAAGGTGGAACGAACATTCAATAATTGCAAAGCACAAAAACACGCACTGTATTTGCTCATGACAAGTACATCTCCAACAGAAGTACTGAATAAATTGCATGCTAGATCATTGAAATAAGTTTTTCTTTGACGACAAACTCATCTCTGTCATTTACATAAGCACATGCACTTTAATAGAAAAAATATTTACAGGTAGAAATCGACTATACATGATGTTGATCAAACGAAACAAAACAAAATGCTTTCCCAGTCAGTCAGTATCAGTGTAAGTCAGCAAGTTTGATGCAACAATATTTCATTTCCTCGAAAAATTGTTCATGTATGGATGTACATGGCAAAATAAACATTTGACTACATTGTAGTTAACAGAGAATCTCCTAAATTTTGTTTTAATGGTCCTCCTCATACAAAATATGATGCAGAAAACCAATCCATTACAAAATATAGTTCTACCCTTATTTACCATTATAAATATTATGTACTAACCTTGTCTCTAGAGCTTGTATTTTTTCCTCTTTCACTTCAAGACTTTTCTTCAATGCATCGTCCATTCTATTTTCTAATGCCTTGTACCGACTGAATCAAAACATCAGTTAATTTATTATACTATATGTAAATATGCTTTTCTGTTAGCAAAACATTGAACTATATTGCAATACTGATGGTTTGGGGGCATGCTCATTCACAGTAAGATAGCAGATCATAATGGTTATTGCAAAATGTTATCCCCATAAATGCTGATCGAAATTAAACTCTACAGAGGTCCAATGTGAATACAGAATATATGCAATCATTGGTGTTTTATAGAAAAAAATATATAATTCATAACCATACATGTACAAGCATTTTTCATAAGAAAACTCGTAGGACATTTAATTTGATTTTTGTATGACCAAAGACAATACCTAACAATCATAATCTGACCCAGCATTACAATCAAGAATTGGTTTTCTTTGTAACAGGAGTTATTGAAACTTACTCTTCATCCTCAGTCAGCTCTTGATGCAACATTTTTTCTTTATTCAGACCTATTTTATGAAGTTCAGTTGAAAGTTTTTCAAGTTCATTGCTAATCTGCTGTGTCTTGATCTTCTCTTTGACCAGATCCTGAGTAATAACAAACATGTGACACATCATTCAATATCAAGAAGGTATTTGTATCCTTTGTAAAGTTAACATTAATGGTGACATTTTGTTGTGAAATGTCAAACAGATGTCCCTTGTTCACTTTTATTGAAGAATATTTAAGCCATTAACCAAATACAGTATATCATATTTGCTCTACAATGAGCAGATTTTCAATAGAAGTACACATGAACATAAAAACAACATTGTATGTTTAAAGTATACAATATACATTACAAAAGTACACAGTAGACAAAGTATACATTACAATACAACACAAGCACATACATTAGTAAACAAGCAAATACTGTAAAATACTTTATTTTCACTAAGAATTAATTTCCGCTGTTTTCCCTGAAGGAATGATTCAGTGAAAATAAAATCCAGCAAATATATCTTTTTCCCTATACTTTACCATTCAACTCATCAAAAATCAGTGAAAATAAATTCAATACAAAACACCCAAAAAGTCTTTTCAGCGAAAACTAATTCCAGCTAAAATAAAGTATTTTAGAGTAAGGTATGTAATTAATTTTACCTCTCTGAGTGCAAATAGTGTCTTTTTATCTATAGTTGCCTGTTGCATCAACTGGTTGTTTTCTTTCTCAATATCTTTCAGCCTTTCATTAGAATCTTTATTTTTCTCTAACAGCCTTTGAAGTCTCTTTGCATCTCTTTCAAGATTGGTAACTTTTACATTAGCATCTTCTAAACTACAATCTTTCATTTCCATGGATTGCTTTAATCGCTTATTTTCCTTTTCCATGTGTTTCATGTCTTTTTCTAGGTGAGCATAATCTAATTCCATGTCTTTGTTGTCGCGTGATAGTTCCTCAATTTTTTTAGATGATAATTTCAAAGTCTCAATTTCTCTTTGTAACTTTTCATTCTCATGTTCAAGTTCCTGTATGTCCCTTTCGAGTGATGCGACTTTCCTGTTTGCAAGCTCCAATGATTTCTGCAACCTCTGATTTGCATTTTCTAATTCCATGTTGTCCACTTCAAGTTTAGTGTACCTCTCTTGGTTAGCCTGGAATGCGTGGAGGGATTTCTGTAATTGTCTATTTTGTCTGTCCAGATCGTCTTTTTCCTGCTCCACCTGAGACAACCTCGTTGTATGTGACTTCATTGTTTCTATTGACCGCTGTAGCTTTTGTACTTCAGCTTGAAGCGTAATGTTTTCACTTTGTGTATTGTCCATTTTAGTTATCATACCTTTGTATGTATCAACCGTTTTTTCCAGTTTCCTTTTCTCCACATCTAAATCAGAATTTTCTTGCTCTAAAGCATCAACTTTCTCACAAGTCAGAGTAATAGCAGCTATTTTGCTTTGAAGTTTTTCAATTTCTTCTTCTGACTCACGGTTTATTTTTTCCAGCTCTTCAATTTTGTCTGCTTTCTCCTTGAGTCGTTCATAGTTCTTTGACAATTGTCGATGCTCATACTCTAAAGTGGACAGTTTATTAGTAGCTTCTCGAGCTGTTCCGTGCAATTTCTTATTTTCTTTCTCGATATCTTTGGTCCTCTGGTCAGCATTCTTTTGATTTCTCTGTCTCAGTATCTCTATGGTTTGGGTGAGTTGTTCAGTTTCTGCTTCATACTCTCTCCTCTGCCGATCCACTGATTTAGAGAGTGAATCAACAGAGAGATCAACTTTTGCCTTATCTCGCCGCAGTTCATTGAACCTTTGTTCCAATTCCACATAACATTTTGTGTCCTTTGTTGAAGCTGTATGTAGTTTTTCCACCTTTTTACTAAGTCTCTGGTTTTCTTTTTCTAACTCCAGTATTTTATTGTTGTTTTCTGCAAGAGTAGTTTCCTTCAACATTTCCAGTTCATGTTGCAGTCGCTGGTTGTCTTTTTCTAGTCTTAATATCTGTGTTGATGCAGCATCACCGTACTCAGTAGACAGGGAATGGCCAACTGGAGGAAAAAATGTTCATTAAGCACACAGTTTTCTTAGGTCACATAACAAATGTTGTGTCCCATGAAAGATGGTCACATAATGAAAGTCATGTCACACAGTCAAATCAAAGTCATGGTCACATGATGTAATGAAAGTCATGGTCACATGATGTAATGAAAGAAGTGATCACTAGATATATGGTAATAAATGTATTGAAACATGCTGTAATAAAATATAGGGTTACATGGTATAATCAATGAAAGATATGGTCCCATGATGCAATGAATATGCATTGTCACATGACCTAATGAATGAAAGGCATGGTCACATGATTATTCATGTTTCTGGATACAGATTTGGATTACTCTTACCTGGTGATGTTAATTTCTTGACGATGTCCAACTCCTTAGATAAGTTGGCCGAATCATTCATACTTTCTTTACCTTCAATTCTCAGGTAAGTATTCTCGTCTACAAGTTCTCGTATTCGTTCACGATCTCCATCACGTTCCTGAAACGATATTATATGCAATATTATAAAGCAAACAAAAGCAGGACAATGAAGCAGACTGGTTGGTTAACAAAATCATAGCTATTAGCCAGGTTGCCAACTCAAAATATGTATAATTTTTAAGAGAATGGCGGCCATGTCATTTCAGGATGGTCATATCATAATAAAACAGGTACTTTATAGCGATATAAAATCATGCCAAATAACACCAAAATAGCATTAACTTTATTAACCCTTTGAGCCTATCATTTTTCCCCATCATGATTTTATGCAACATTTTGCCTGTTTTCGTGTATTTTTCCCGTTTCTAAATTATTTTAGAAATCATTTTATACAGGTCTTGATCAAAATTTTGATGAAATTATTTGGGTTTTATTTTGTGAATGGTGACAAAAGTTGACTTTGTGCTCAAAAGGTTAAAGGTCAAAAGGTTAACCAACCAGCATCTTATCAAATAAACCTGTGATAGGAATAAAATAAATGTATTCACCCTGGAAAACATTGTGACCAAAAACGTGCTTTACTATATCATAAAAATAATACACACCATCATAACAGAACAAAATATTATTTGCGAGTGATAGAAAATATGATGGAAAAAGAAAAAGTCAGAACAACCATCACCAACAATAACTTTCAATAAAATCATACTTTCTAACCAATAAAACTAATAATCCAGTCACATGGCATATATTTTAGTTGTCTCTGTACCTTCTCTCATAGAAGTGGACGCTGATAATGTTATGTGCTAAAATAATTAAAAATGCAACGAACTTGAAAAAGTCTTGTAATGTTCAGAAAAATTCAAATCATCTTCATTTTGAAGGAGTTTAAGTTTAGGTTTTGAATCTACTGAGCATATGAAAATGCACTGTCAGTCAAATTTCCCCTTTCAACAAACTAGAGCAATATTATCTTGGAAAATTAGAACTTTTTTTCAGTCCACAACAACAATTTTAGATATGATCAAATATGATGAAAGATATGAAAATGTGGCTTTATTAAAAACATATTTATCAGCACTTCTTATAGAGAAAATACAGTAACATGTATTACAAAACAGTCAAATAAAATTCTGGTAAAATGGGGCTCCAAAACCGTTACATTGCTTACATGCAGATACAAACTAGGATTGTGACTAAATTATACCATTCAACTCAAGTCGTAAATAAAATACAAGAGAACGTTACAAACAGCCACCAGACCAACAAATCTTACCCGACAAAGTGCAGAGACTGCTGACTCTGGTTCCAAGTTACTTTTCGCTCTCCTTTCAGAAATGTACAAGGACTGACAAAAAGGATGACAAAAGAGCCATGGAGTTTGTTTAGATATCGGTGCATAGTTATATGACAAGTGATATTAGTCAATATGAAGAACATGATGAGGTCAAAGGTTACATGAAATGACAATTTTACTAGAGAACTCAGAGAGAGCAATCTGTGATTACATGACACACGACATGAATGCAATAAAAGTTGGGGTCATTGACCTTACCTCTTCTAACTCTGATATATGTTGTTTATACTTAAGGGTATCTGCTTCAAGTTGGACCATCCTTTCTACTTTTCTGTGCGATGATTCCAGCTGCTCTTCTAACAATGTCTTTGTATCGTGAAGAAGCTGATTGTCCTCTCTCAGTTCCTGTGAAAACAAAATATATTTTATATACATACAATCCAGAGTTCTCTCGGCGCTATATTTGTGAATCTCGGCGCTTTACTTGGTACCTCGGCACTATGTGTTCCGACCTCGGCGCTTGATTTCGTATTTGACATGCCAATATTTATTTATTTGTTGCTACCCTTTTAAAGCAGGGGTCACTTTTACAATATCAGATGTGCAAAAGGTTTGTTCGCCACGCTGGTCGACCCCGACCGACACTCAAAATTAGTGACCACCACGGAAACGCTTCCGACTAGGACTTTTGTCCGATTGTTATTATGTACCGACCGACACGCATCCAGTCAGTCGTGGATTATAATTTGTAAACAATAGACCTAGTCGCACGATACGTAGCAGATAGTCAATTTTGTGAAATTAGCACCTCTTTGTTTGTAAGTAAATACTTTAAGCGATAGACACAGTCTTTAGATTGAAAGCTAATTCAAAATCAATTCCACCTCGATATAAAATGGTCAAAGCGGAGTTCACGATCAGTTTACGCTATTCAAGAAAAAAAATGTGTTTAGTATTGCGTGATAAAATACATTTTAATTGTTATTGCGAATCATGTAAAAACTCTTCTTACCTATTTTACCTTTTAAAAATTGCTAATCGCCTCTTTCGAAAACCATCATGCAGTTTTCAATTGAAATCAATGCCAACACATCGTGCTACGACTTTGCTTTACCTCCACAATGTAATTTTTATGATCACTACCATTCAGAAAACTTCGGATTCTACTGGCATTTTGATTGGTTAATGGCATTCTTGACCCATTGGGTCAAAGGACACATGCCAGTCAACTAATACATCACAATCATCATGGCGGGTCTGTGTTTTTTACGGAAGCGATCGAGTGATCAAAAATAATCACTCCCGATAAAAATAAGTCAGATTTTACTTTCATTTCATAACCGGTGTATAACATTTAATATGTAAGTTTAATATGTCACGTCGTAACTTTAATGGTCATTTTGAAGTTTTATTTGTTCGTTCATTACTGTAAATGTAAACGTTTTAGAAGTTGATGGTATGAATAATAAATTACAACAATACGCTAATTAGTTATGTGGTCGATTTTTTGAAGGAGAATGTTTTTGGAGTAAATAAAATCATGAAATTCGTGAACATATTTCTGGCTTAACGTTTCGAATGCGTTTCATTTAACGTTTTACAGTGGACATTAATATTGCAACAATAATTGATTTGTTTTTGTTTGAGCTCATTAATATTCATAATTGTAAATGAGTTCTGTTAATTAATTAATGTATGAAAAGTATGTAAATGATATGCAAAATATTATGCAAAATGAATATGCAAATTAGTTACAGAACTATGCATTTTTTCTGGGAAGAACCCTGCATTTTTCTATGCTTTCCCAGCTAATTTGTTCAATTTGTTAGTTGCACAGCGCCCCCATGAGGCCATTTTCTCAAGCATTTTTAATTTCCGTCACTTACCTCCATTCTTTTCTTTAGGTACTCCATTTCATTTAGTTTCTCTCGATATCTTTGAATTTCACCTTCATACTTATCAACTTTACTGGCTTTTTCTTTCAACACGTCAAGCTCATCTCGGTATCCTCGGGCCGCTCTCGCATCCTGTGTTAAATCAATGTTCTGGAAAAGAGATCTTCTTTTAATAATAGTAATAATGTTGTTTATACCACATATTGTATTATCGCCAAAAGCTCAGAACATATGAAAATTGCTACATTTGCTTGATAAATCTGGTATCACACGGTCACTCACTGGAGATCCTCTATGTATTATCCCTTAAGTATGAGGCAGTCAATGTTATTGGTCAAAACTGTCACATGATTACCTGATAAATATTGATATTTGTTTCTCTCAGTATATTTTTGGCCTCTGCCATAATTTTTTTGTGTTACTGGCCTTTAATGTCATAACATCCTAACAAGATTGTTATCAACAATAAAAGAATTCATAGGTGACAATTACAATTGAGTTTCTCAACTGGCCACTAATTTTGATTTCAACTCGAGAAGTTTGCCTTTTGGCTCTTGCTTTAACTTGCTTACTATTCTTGTTGTCCTCTTTCCAAATAATGTCCTTGGCTTGAATTATTGTCTCCAAATGGATGTTGGCCAAAGCCAAAGTGTATAATAATGAGACATAGCTTGGGGTATGGTATATACAACAACAAATGAGACAAAAACTGAAGTATGCTTACATCTTGTTTGACTTTCTGTAATAAAGCATTGGCTTGTTCTAACTCCTCTTTTAACTCCATTCCTTGTTCTGTTTTCTCTTCTAATTCTTGTCTCATTCTTCTTAGTTTGGCTTTGGTATCAGATAATTCAACATTAATATGA